GGGGGGGGGGGGCCTGGGGCTGGGCGCGGCTGGGAGTGGGGAGCCCACCAGAAGCTCGTGCTTTTCCTTCCGGGGACGGCCGCACAGACCTCCGCCAGGACATGCTGACTCTGCAGATGATCCAGCTCATGGACGTTCTGTGGAAGCAGGAGGGATTGGACCTGAGGTGAGAGGCCCTCCTGGCGTCCGTCTTCGGACTTGCCCCACGCCTAGGACCCTGTCCCTTTGGAGGAGTCCTCTGTCAAAGCCGACGCCGACACGGATGCGGGCAAAGGGGCCGTTCTCAGAGCAGAGACCAGTTTGAAGTCAGGGCCGAGGGAGGCGGGAGGCGATGAGGCCGCAGAGTGAGGGCGCAGAAGGCCCGGCCGGGCGCTCGGCGTCTGTCTTACTCCATTGTTTCCTTTGCTCCACGCTCCCTGGCTTCCTGCCCCGTCTTGGGAAGCAGTGACATCTTCTTCTAAACCATCTGGATTTCTCTCTGAGCAAACACGAGCTCAGCTGAGGCGCTGACTTTTCCTCTCTGCATCTTGAGGGCTGGCGTTGACCTCTCCAAGGAGCCCTCCCCTGGAGTTCCAGGCGTCAAGGACGCCTCCCTGCACCTTTCTCCTCCCTTTCAGCAACCCCGCTGGCGTCTCCTGTGGCGGTTTTTGCTGTCTTGAGCTCCTCGGGCTGGAGGGGGGCGGTTCACACTGCCCCAGGGACAGCCCTTGACCATGGCATTTCCCTGCCCCTCCTCCCTCCTGGCTAGGATGACCCCCTATGGCTGCCTCTCCACGGGGGACCGCACAGGCCTCATCGAGGTGGTGCTTCACTCAGACACCATCGCCAACATCCAGCTGAACAAAAGCAACATGGCAGCCACGGCTGCCTTCAACAAGGATGCCCTGCTCAACTGGCTCAAGTCCAAGAACCCTGGGTAGGTTCTGGGCCCTGGGGACAGACACCCTTTCCAAGAGGAGTTTGGGAGTCAAAGGTGAGGAGAAGGGCCCGTGACAGTCTCCATGACTTCTTGGCTCGGCCGAGGACCAGGTCTGCTCTGTGTCGGGGTGGGTCAGGTCTCTGTTCCCGCAAGGATCAGTTAACTATTGTCCTGTAACGACCACGCTCATCTTAGGCATGTAAAACCACCACGGGTTAGGGGCGCCTGGGTGGCGGTCGGTTAAGCATCCAACTTCAGCCAGGTCACGATCTCGCGGTCTGTGAGTTCAAGCCCCGCGTCGGGCTCTGGGCTGATGGCTCAGAGCCTGGAGCCTGTTTCCGATTCTGTGTCTCCCTCTCTCTCTGCCCCTCCCCCGTTCATGCTCTGTCTCTCTCTGTCCCAAATAAATAAAT